TAGTTGTGGTCACTTGTGATTTCTCACTTTCCTAGGTCGGGAACTCCATGAAATCTCATGTCTATGAGGTATGATTGAAAAGTACAGTTAATGTTTTTCCTTTTCTTTTTTTTTTTTTTTTTGGTACTGGGAATCGAACTCAGGACCTTGCACTTGCCAGGCAGGTTCCTTTTCTTTTTTAAAAATTGTTACAAAGACACATTACCATTAATCCCACACAGTTCAAATACCCTTATCCCATCTTTCTCGCCGCTTTCTGAAGCAGGTCGGGACGTCCCCTTTTGTGACTGTCTTGGGTTGCACTTTTGTGGCTGCCTCCATGTCCTCAATCAATTCAGAATGTTTCTCTTTCTGGTCATTCTGACCTTGGGGAAGAGCCAGAAGTCATAAGGCGCCACATCCGGTGAATAAGGTGGTTGAGCACAGGCCAGCACATTTTCACTAGCTGCCTTTCTGTTGGATGGCACTTGGCACCAGCATTCACTACATTGTTGATCACACCTCATAAAGTACTTCCCCAAGGGTCCCCTGCTCTGTCTCCTCTCGCACTTTACCTGTCATCTGAACACAGCTGTCCGCATACCACTCTTCCGGGTGAAGAAATCCCAGCACCTGACCTTTGCTGTGTCATCTCCTCCCGTCTCGTCACAGCCCCGGGCTGGTCCCCTTTATTCTGGAGGCTGGCATTCCATTCCTCTTCTTTTTGTATTTTCTTCAAAACTTACATTTTCACTGTACATGATTTAGCAGGAACCATGCTCCCGTTTTAGGTATTGCTTTTGTCCGAGCCCACGTTTGCAGTACGGCATGTTGTCTGGAGTTGGTCCACGCACGTGCCACATCTCGGTTCCGTTCCTGCTCTCAAGCTGGCTAAGGTGACCTCATCCTTCCAGAGCTGGCTCAGGGGTCACCTTCGCCTTGACATTCTTCCTCTTCTGACCCCTCTGCCCTCTGTGCATACACTGTTAGCCATGCTTTTTTAAGACAAGCTTTTAAACATTGTAGTAAAATACACATGACCTAACAGTTACCATCTTCGGTATTTTTTAGATGTATAATTCATGGCACTCAGCACATTTGCACTGCTGTACGGTCATCGCCCATGGTGCACCCACAAAACATTTTTCTTCTCAACTGAAACTGCCCCCATTAAAAACAAGCTTCCAGTCCCTTCCTCCTGGGCCCCGCTGCCGCCCTTCTACTTATTGTCTCTGGATTAAATGGAATCACACGGGATTTGTCCTTTTAGAACTGGTTTATTTTACTCAACATAATGTCCTCAAAGTCCCAGAATTCCCTTTCCTTCTAGGCTGGATCATATCCCCTGGGACGGATACACCACATTCTGTGTAGCCATTCCTGTCCCGGCGGGCAGCTGGCTTGCTTCCCACCTTTGGGCTACGGGGAGCAATGCCGCTGTGAACGTGCATGTGCACCTGTTTTGAGACCTTGCTTTTGATCTTTTTGGATGTAAACGCAGTAGTGTGGCTACTGGGTCATGTCATAATTCTACGTTTAACTTTGGGGCAAAGTCACATTGTGTTCTTAGTAGCTGCACAAAGAGTCCCCATCCTCACCAGTACTGCTTCAAAAAATAACAGCTCTTTTGACGTGTGTGAGCAGATGCTGATTTGTACTTACTTAATGATTAGTCGTGCTGAGCATCTTCTCAGATTCTTTTTAGTCTCTTGGTCATTTTTTTTTCTTGGCTGGGGACTGAACCCAGGGCTTCACACTGAGCTGCATCCCTAGCCTGTTTTTACATTTTATTTTGAGACAGGGTGTCGCTAAGTTGGCCAGGCTGGTCTCAAACTTTCAGTCTTCCTGCCTCAGCCTCCTGAGTAGCTGGATTATAGGTGTGCACCACCACATCTGACTACCTCTCAGTCATTCTTAAATGGGAGTTGGCAAATTTTTACTGTGAAAGGTGGAATAGTACATATTTTAGGCTGTGTGGGACAGACTAAATTCTGCCCCTGTTGCGGACAGGTAGTCACAGGCAACACCAAGACACTTAACCAAAAGCGGACAGCAAGCGAATCTTTTACCATCCCTGCTCTTAAGATGAGCAGCACTTGGGCTGTTACCTTTGGCATTTCATTTCTTCTGCAGCACTACGAATTCTTTGAAGACAAGGGCTCTATCTTGGTCAATTCTGCACTCTTTTGAATATAATGGGTGCCCAGCAAATATTTTCCAATTGATGTCCCCCTCCATGCTTTGGAGGACAAAGATGGTAATGTGTGTGTGTGTGTGTGTGTGTGTGTGTGTGTGTGTGTGTATCTCAGTATCTGCTATAGAAGCCATCTCAAAATCTCAAAAGAGTTGGCTTGGACATGGTGGCCCAGGCCTGTAATTCCATCTATTTGGGAGGCTGAGGCAGGAAGATCTTGAGTTCAAGGCCAGCTAGGGAACTTTTTTTTTTTTTTGGTTTTTCTCTGGTACCGGGAACTGAACTCACGACCTTGCGCATGCCAGGCAGGCGCTTTTGCCGCTGAGCTAAATCCCCAGCCCTAGGGAACCTTATTGAGGCCTCATCTCAAAAATAAACGAATGAGTGAATAAAGACTTGCTGAGAGACAGGCTACTTTGGCCCTCTCCCCATACATAGGTCATTTGATGCAGTTCTGTAAAATCCTCAAAGCCAAAGGAATTGGCATTGCTAATTGCCCTTCAAGGCCCTCGGCCATGGTTTCTTTTCTCTAGGGCTCCCTCAGCTGGCCAATGCAGGAGTTGCTCGCTTTCTCCACTAAAGGAGAAAGGAGTCTTAGCAACCTAGGGGCAGGTAAGGGATGGACGCCCTTCCCCCTAAGGACCTGACCCAGAGGAGCACAGTGGTTTGTAGGGGATCTGGGCAGCTAGGCCATGGCTCCTGTATGCTTGAGGAAGTGCTTTGATGGAGACGCAGGAAGCCACAGGACGAAGGCCTGCGAGGAGGCCATGTTGGAGACAGAGGTGAAAGGTGGCCCAGATGTGCTGTTGGGTGGGGAGGAGGAGGGGTACGGGGCGCCTCATGGCAGAGGGGAGAGCTTTCTACCAGCATGGCTGGCGCAAGCGGTGAGCCAAGAATGCCCGAGGGGCAGGAAGCCTAGAGTCCTTGTCAGAGGCCAGAAAGTGCACCCAGCCTGGCTCCGAGTGGGTTCTAGTCCTTTCCTGTTAGCGTCGTGGACTCCATGGCAGAAGAGCTGGCTCCAGAACACACACAGAGAGCGGTGCCACTGTGCCCCAGGCTTGTCTCTCTTGGACCCTCCCTGCAAAAGCTGGCCACAGTCCCCTCTGACGAGCTGGTGAAAGCTGCGTGCTCTCTCCTGCCGAAAGCTACACACACAAAGGCTATGTCCACCTCACAGAGTCCGCAGAGAAGCTCGTGAGGGCCAGGCCTGGGACCTCTGCTCCGAGCCAGCCCAGCAGGCTTCTTCCTTCCCCGCTCTTCCACCGTTTCCCACGGCGGCGGATGCGGTTCATGCTAGGATTCCAAGCCGGGAGACAATTACCTGTGTTTCCTGAGCACCCATTTCGTGCCATGGACACACTGGCAAAGATTGAGAGCCCGCCCCTGGCTGGGAGTCCAGAGAAGACAGATTCAGGCTGGCTTTGCGGGAAAGGGACTGAGGGCTCCGAGGGGCGGCTAGGACAATCTGAGCAGGGGAGTGACAGGGCATGAGCAAGAACGAGGGCTCGGGGTGGCAGGGAGGACACCGGGATGTGCAGAGGCCGGGTGAGGGGAGGGGCCAGGAGGGGGTGACAGATCCGCTGGCTGTCTCAGTATACTCCGCCTAGGTGCTGAACTAAGTCCAGTGTCTGGGGAAGGAAGAGGACTGAGACCAGAGATCACCCAATGGGCATGCAGCAGCTGGCACTGGGTTTGGGCTGTCCCCAGGCTGGGAGAGCTGCCTTCCCTTGGCCGATTTTCCAGGCAGGAAGGGTGACACGGCGGGGGGGGTGGAAGTCATTTCAGGCCCTCACCCTTCAGGGATGGATCAAGTACGGGTGGCCCCAGAACCCGGACCTGCGGGCCGGGCCAATTCTGTCCTGCAGTGGCCGAGGGGAGGCTCTAGCTGGGCCCAGTGCCCTGGGGCAGCTACTCCAGTGGCCTGGAGCCACCAGCAGGGCTGGTGAGCAGGAGTGACACCCCGTCTCAGTTCAGCGAGAACGCTTGGGGGCCAGAGGCTGTAGCAGATGGACTCTCTACAAAGGTGTTGGGGTCGGGTAAGCGGGTCCGAGTGAGGAGCGCAGGGAAACTCTGGGCACCGCTCTGGGGCCGTGCTGCCCGGGCTCCCCCGGGCCGTGAGTACTTGCAGCCCTACCTGCGCACAGGGCACCCTGCGCTTCTGTTTGGAACTTGCAGCAGTTTCCAGTTATGGACCGGCTTGTGTAGCCCAAGGGCAGTTTCTGCCCAGCTGGCAGGGGCTGTGCTTGACTTGCCACCCAAGAGCTGCACAGTACCCAAGCAATCCGCAAGTGCAGAAGTGAGGAAGGGGCAGCAGGATTCCATCGCAGTGGGGGAAAGCTAACACACAGCAAGGTGAGAATGGGTGAGACTGTCCAGGGTGCAACCAGGGACATCTTTGGCCCAGAGGGCTGCTAGCATTTTCCTCAGGAAGCTTCGAGGCCAGGCCAGTGCCCGGGGCTCATGAGCAAGGCCTGCTAGCTTCACGTCCTCCCACTGCCACGTCCCTCCCGAGGCCTCTGTGACTTCTCTGGTCCCCCTGTTCCACGCAGGAAGGCAGGACAATTTTCTTGATTCTTTCCCTCCAATGTGCAAACTGTCCACTGTGGAGACTGCTACAGGTTTCCCATCCTTCAAGGCCCACCTCATCATATCACCTGCCCCAGGCAAGCTGAACCCAGACCGGTTTGCCTTTGTACACGTCACTCACGCCTGCAAGGACAGGGGCTTGGGAACCATTGGTCTAACAGCCTTACAGGCAGAGACTGTCTTACTTGGGTTCATAGCCCAGTGGCCCAGCGCCCCAGCTCACACACCAGCAACACACAGCAAGGCTTGTAGACTGCATTTATTCCAGTCTCCCCTTGGATGCAGGTGAGGATGACAAAGGGAATCTTTAAGATCTCATTTCAATTAGTCTGAGAAGAAGCCAGTTGTGGGAACAAATCATCACCAGGAAATAGAAAAGGCTGAAGGGTTATTTGTGCTGTGCCTTGCGGCGTCTACGAGCGCGAGTGGCAGTGACAGTCGTCGCTGCACCATCATCTCAGGGGCTCTCCTCCTCAGCGCCTTGTGTCAGGAAGAGTCACACAGCTGAACCCCCCACCAGATCACCGCTTGCACTAAAAGCAACAGGACTCTGACGATCAAGAGGAATGTCTTATGAAAAAGCAACACAGGCAGGCACCGTGGCAGTCCTTGAAAGATGAGGAAGCCTGGAATGTCAACAACCAGTGGTCTTTTCTTCCCCCACGGATTGGGAAATTACAGTTTATACTTTTGGTCTGTATTTTTTTTTGCTCTAGACTACGTCCATACGAAATGTACATTTGAAGTCACACACGTGTTTACAACTTTTTCTTCTAGGATACTGTTAAGATGCAGTCCTTGAGTAGGCTAGTGGCTTCCACTCTACTATTGGTTTGCATGAAATAATCTGCTTCCTCATCCTCCATCTGCAAATGGGTTGCTTCTTTCCTATAGCTTCGATTACGTACAAGGCCATGGGAATGATACGGGGGACTTCAAGAGGTGGCTGCTGCGATAAGGAACAAAAGAGAGGACAGGAGAGGAGAGGAGAGGGGAGAAGAGGGAAGAGAAAGAGAGAGAAAGAGAAAGAGAAAGAGGTAGTAGAAGAAAGGTGAAGAGAGAAAGAGCAAACAAAATAATAGAACGCGAAGCTCTCCTCCCCCCTTTAAGAAATCCAGACCTCACGCGGGGAAGAAATGCCTATTGTTCTTGTCACCCTCGTGGTGACAGAGGGGGCAGGGCACACTGTCACTGAACTCACAAGAGGAACCCAGGCTCAGAAGCAACTCATCTGAAGGCTATTACTGGGTCAGTGCATGGGGAGAGTTCCCGGGCAAGGCGCACTTGCGGCTGGCCCGGCCTCGGGACCTCACTCGACTTTCCGCAGGTGGTGGAAGCTACGCAAGGTCTTCTCCACAGCCTCATCCATGCTGACCAGAGGCCGGTAGCCCATCAGCTTCTTTGCTTTCTCGCAGCTGTAGTAGTGGAATGTGCCCGCCAGCGCGACCCGCATGGGCGTGAAAGTGGGCTGGATTTGGATGATGGGACTGACCAGCATCACCAGCAGGGACAGCAGGAGGGCCAGGTAGTAGGCCACCCAGTAGGGGATGTGGTACTTGGGGGGCTCATAATTGAGGCCTTTCAGGATGCGGGACAGGAAGGTCCAGAAAGGCATGGGCTCGTCATTGGTGATGTGAAATGCCTGGCAAGGGAACAAGGGGGAAGGAGTTAGCTGCCCATGACTTTTACTGTGGGAACCCAGAGCCGCCCTGCCATCTGCCAGCCTGCTCTGGCCCTTCAGCAGGGCAGCTACACAGGGAGGTGTCCTCCATGCTGCCCCACGTGCCTGCTTGCAGCAGCGTTTCACATGGTCTGAGCGCAACTGTGCCCAACGGCAGCATTCCGGGCAGGGGGGAGGCACTGCCCACGTTAGCTACAGGCCAGGACTTTCAGTGATGCTTCAACTGCCCTGAGAAGGTCTATCTGTTAATTTAGCAACTGCAAATCATGGTAAAACTCACCTTATCCTTGGATGCAAGAATGGGTCATGTTACATTTCTCCAATATGCTCTGCTTGTTATAAACCCGAAGCTATACCCACCCTCCTCCCAATCACCACCCAGGTTACAAGTGGGGAAACAGCAGAAGCTCAGGAAAGGGAGAGGATCAAGCAGGGAGAGGGATTCCAAGCTAGGAGTGAGAAGTAAGGGGCCCTAGGAGTTGGAGGCAAGGGCGAGGGGGCTCCGCAGGCCCTTCGATCTCTGCTGCTCTCCGCCACATGCCTGTCCCACTGCAGAGACAGCTGGCATCCCAGTCCTGCCCTGCCTGCTGGGTACCAAACGCCAGGAGATTCGGGGATGTCATCCGATCAGAGGGGGAGGAAGCTGGTGTGGGCCATGGGGGAAGCAAGGAGGACAAAGGGTGAGGATGCAGCACCCTGCCCAATGCATGCGGCCCCCAGCCTGGAGTGGCCGCGTGGACAGACAGGCAGCCAGGGCACGTGCCATGGAGAACAGTGTCTTTGATCTCTTCAATCCCAGCTCATTGGCACCTGGGTTTTTGCTGCCCCAAGTCATGAGGTGGTACCCTGACATAGCGCTCCTGACTGGGACCTTCAGCCTTCGCCCGGGGTTGGGGGGAGTCCCAAGGCAGATGAGTCATGACACAGGACTGCAGGAGCAACTGGCCAGCCAATGAGATGGCAGGGAGAAGAAGCGCAAAGGAAGGCAAAGGTACAGGGCTGAGCCACGAGAGTGGGTACCTCACCTTCCCGCCCAGGCTTGCATCTTGGGAGAGGTGCTCGGCGGCCAGGATGTGTCCGTGGACCACATTCTCCACAAAGGTGAAGTCCACCAGGTTCTCCCCATTTCTGTAGGTGCAAAGGAAGCATTCAGTCATGCGCACACTTAGGTGCAAGCCCGGCGAGCCCTGAGCACGAGGCATCGCTACCTGTGGCACAGCAGTGGCCTGCCTTGGCACGGCCGGCCCCGCGCGCGCGGGGTGCTGGGACAGTGGGATATGTAAGGGACAACCAGTGACTTGAACCTCTCAGTTTCCAGACTTCCCCAGCTCGTCTGGGCTGCAGCTCTTCAGCCCTTCCCAGGACACACCGGGCCGACACCTGGCTGCGGCCACACAGCTTCCTGCCCGTCTCTTCGCAGTCTCTCAAAGTGACAGGTCAGAGTGACAGTGAAACTTAGAAAGAAACAGGAAGGCCAGGCCAGGGATGAGAGGAGGAAGAACAGGGTAAGAAGAAAAAAAAAGAAACGAAGGAAGAACAGGTGCATCTGATAGACAGCCACATCTGTTGTCACCTTCCGGGGCCTCTCTACCTTTGTGTGCCTTGAAGAGGGAGGCAACCCTTCTACCCAATACACCTGTGTCTAGAAGCGAACAGTGGAGGACCCTTGAGTCTGGGCCAACTACTTCTGCCTCTTTTTTTTTTTTTTGGTACTGGGACTCAAACTCAGGACCTTGCACTTGCCAGGCAGGCTCTGTGCCGCTGAACCATATGCCTGGCCTGGCCCTCTTCTGCGCTTCATGTTCCTTCATCTGCAAATAGGGATAGAAATACAGCCTGCCAAAAAATGGATACACATTCCAGTTTTTCTTTTCATGAAGGGTGTATATGTATTTTTGGCAGACTCTGTACTTTCCCAGCCTATCTGAGGGCATACGGGCTTATTCAAATAGCGTCCACCCCAACCTCATGTCCCTCTGGAACTTGCGCAAGCGACCTTTCGGGGAAATGGAGTCTCTGCGGATGTGCTTAGTTGAGGCCATATGGAAAAGGGCAAGCCTTTGACCCAGCAGCTGATGTCTAAGAAGACGCTACAGAAACCAAGCAGGCAGACAACCATGTGCACAGCTGCCAAGGACCCTGGCAACCAACAGAGGCTCGCAGAGAGGCGCGGGCCACACGTGCCCTCGTGGTCTCCTGAACCCAGCCGGCCAACACCTGCAGTTCGGACTTCTGGCCTTCACCAGAGCAGCCAAACAGACGAGCCAGCCACACGAAGCTGTCTGGCTGCTGACAGTATCCCCCACAGAGCCGGAGGGGCGGCCTCGGCAAGGGGCAACTCACCCAATTATGAACTTCATCTTGCCCTTTCTTGCTGCATCGATGAGGATGGGGACCAACTGAGGGTCCCTGGGGCCAAAGATGGTATGGGGCCGGATGGCTGTGGTGAAAAAATTCCTCTCAGGATCGTTGGCGCCCAGCACGGTCTGACGGAACAGAAGAATAAGTTGTCCAAACAAGCTCGAGCCCACGACAAGCCAGGATGTGCGGCACTTCCCACGGGAGACAGACGGCCGCTGTGCATTTTCGGCGTGCAGACCACCGGGTGGTGTCTGCCTTGGGTGCCAACCCATGTGAGCCACTGCTGCAGTTCTGGGCTACTCTATCCCCTTCAGCCTCCCTGGTCTGACAGCACAAGAGATGAGATGACGGGGCTGAATCACAAGGCCTGGGTTTGGCTTCGAAGGCCATGATGCAGGAATGCAGATGGGAAGAGGCACCTCGGCAAGGGGATGTGGAGAGAGAGGAGGGTTCCAGTGAACACGTCAGCTAAGGGGTGGCTGACCTGAGTGACATGTGCTGGCTGCAGGCATCCCCCAGGCCTGGGTTCAATGAGTGCCAACGTGCCACCTTGTAGGGAAGCACTCAGACAAAAGCAAGTGGGCCTAGAAATTTCTAATCATCAGAGCTGCCTGAACATGGAGAAGTTCCCTCTTTCAATACATTCTCAGAGCGGCTCTGCCTCCTGCCACCAGGCCTTGGTCCCCATGGAGATGGGAAAAAGGACCAAACCTTCAAATGACCTACAGCAGGGAAGACAGCGGCAAGGCGCTGCGTCCACGCTGCATTGCTCCCCGCTGACCAGAGGCTCCAGCTGAGACGCCTGCAGGGGTTGCTGACTGCCATTTGAGCACTCACAGGCCCTGCAGGCAAGGCCCGCTCTGGCTGGGGCAGGCTGCTCTTTGGAGCTCCTGAGTCTTCACAGCCTCAGCCGTGGAGGAGCCCAGGACCTCAGCTGAGAGTGCACGGGGCTTTGGGCACTGGGGTTCTTTCTAGGGCCAGGGGAGGCTCCAGAGCTCCTTGGGCCTAAGCCTAATAGGTTGTTGTTCCACAGAGCAGGGCGGCAGAGCTCGGACACAGGACTTTGGGAAGACCGTTGTGTCTCCCACAGAGCAGTTCTGCTGGGGTCTTCTGAGCTGTGGTCACAGCAAACAGCCCAGAGGCAGCTGGCTGTAAGCCCTGGCTGCGCGTCTATCCTGCTGGTCAGCACTGAGCTCCAGTTCGGTAAGCACGGGCTTGGACAGGAAACCTCAGGGCCTTGATACGCTGTCAGCAGCGCAGGGAGACAAAGTCGCAGGTCCCTAGAGAAGGCTACAGTCCCCCTCCTGTGGGGCTCAGGAGGACCCACGGCCTGGGGCTTAGGACGGCTCTAGGGTGACAGGGACAGCTCTAGCAGCTGCTCTAGCAGATGCTGGTCTCTGGAGCCCCAGCACCCTGGATGCTCAGTGGCTATTGCGTGACCTGGACTGCAGCTGGATCTGGCCACATGGCTCCCTCTGCATCACCGTCCTCATCTGTAATCTGGGCACGGTAACGGTGCCTGCCTCACGGGACAGCAGTGAAGTATAAAGGAGAGAGGCCCCAGAAAAGACTCAGAACACTGGCCATATTAAGCTAGTTCCTCATACTTTAAAACTTCGCTTCACCTGTGATTTTACCCCCCAAGTTCGGTACCCAGGTCTCACTCAACCGCTTCCACAGTGGTACATACTTTTTCCTGTAAGATCTTAGTCTCCGTGTAGTAGTCAATGGGCTTCACGGCGTAAGGGAGGTCCTCGGTTCCATTTTTGATGTCGATGCCCTCAAAGACGACACTAGCACTGCTGGTTAAAATGAGTTTCTGGCAGAGGAAGATCAAAAGGAAAACAAGAGTCAGGAACAATTACTATTCCAGTCACCTGACAGTCACACCTGAGCCAGAATGAAATGGCATCTCTTCCCTCGCCTCCTGTGAGTTACCTGCTACAATGCTTCACCTTTCACCCCATCTTAAGGTAATCCAAAGATTACCACCTTCTGCAGCATGTGGATCCCAGACACATTACGGCATTACAGCCTAAAAGTGGATCTCACGTTTTCTTCCCGCCCAAAAGGCCTGAGGGGTAGGGCACATTCCCAGTACGGATGGTATCTCAGGGTGGGAGTCTCCGTGGGGGAAGGAGCGCTGGCAAACTTCTAGGAAGACGTCTACTTGCAAAGGATCGCTGGTTATTGATACCAACCTTGCCATGGGAACACACACACGTACATGCATGTAACTTAAGAAATGCTGTTTAACAGGACACTTGCCTAGCATGCATGAGGCCGTGGGTTTACTACAAAAAAAGAAGCTATGTTAAGAGGGTCCCTAGTTTCCAGCCTTCTAGTGATGCTAGGCACCATTAGTTCATATCATCTTATTTTCCTGGTACCTGTGACTGAACCTAGAGCCTCCGCACTGAGCTACACCCCCAGCCCTTTCAAAACATTTTTATTTGAAGACAAGATTTTGTTAAGTTATGAAGGCACCCAGGCTGGGCTTGAACATGTGACCCTCCCGCCTCAGGTTCCCAAAGTGCTGGGATTATAGGAGTGTGCCACACTGCTTTTATTTAATATTACTTAGCATTTTCCTACAAGCTCTAGACAGTGAAAGTATAAGACAGACATACAATGATGTGAAAAGAAGTCAAAGTGCCATCATTTGCAGATGACAGAAATATTTATACAAAAAACACTGTTGAACACATAGAAAATATTGAAGTTCAACAAAGTCAATGAATTCAGATGAGATTGGGTGGGTTCAGGGTGGTATGGCCGTAGACAGTTGCCGAATTCAAAAGCAACACAAATTAAACCATATTCCTATATATTAGCAACAATGAAAAGTGTAATATGAAAATTAGTAAATAACAAAATATGTGGTACATGGGGATAAATTCAACAAAAGATATGTGAGACTTTTATGAAGTGCAAGAAGGCATTAAAGAGAGGCAGAAAGAGAGTGCGTACACTCAGATTTATGGATAGGACGAGTCAGTATTACCAAGACATCACTTCTCTCCAGAATTACCCAGAAATTCCATGGAACTACAACAGCAATTGCAACAGGCTTAATCAGGAAACTTGACAAGCTGATCAGAAAATATACGTGGGGCAGGCGTGGTGGTGCACAGCCATCATCCGAGCACTCTGGAGGCTGAGGCAGGAGGATCTCTGTAAGCTGGAGGCCAGCCTGGGCTCCTTAGTGAGTTCAAGGCCAGCCTGGGTTATATGGCAAGACCCTATCTAAGCAGCCCCTCCAAAATGTATGTGGAAGAATAAAGGGCTGAGAAGGGCCGAATAAGTTTTAAAGATGGGGGCTTGGGGTGACATGTCCCACCAGACATGATCCCCACGAAGGCAGACTCTTGAAGCCTGGGCATGGAGGCCAGCACAGCCTAGCAGTAAGCATGGCAGGGCCCAGGCAGGACATAAACAGCCGGGGCAGGGTGCCAGTGGCGCTAGAGGTGAGGAGTGTCTGGACCACGTGCCCAGCTGACCTGGCTATCTATATGGAAACAAACGCTCCATCCTGACCTCATCATATCCAAACATAGATTCCCAGGGGATTAAAGACTTCCACGCAGAAAGTAATCCTTGAAATCTTTGAAATAAAATACAATTTTGATCTTGGCGTTGGAAAATGTTCCTTAGATATAAGAGAGAAATCCATTCCCTGCACCCTTACCCACTGAAGTATTCTGGCTCTTTAGTGAATGAACTGGAGCCCCTGTGCCAATACGGATAAAGCTCAAGGATGTAATCCCAGAGAAAAAGAAAAGGCAAGTTGCCAGAGGATACATTCAGCGTGTTACCATTTTTATAAAGTTTTATAATATGTAACCCAATCTCTTATACCGGCTACACAGGGAACAAATACAAACGATAACGCCAAATGCAGAAGAGTTGCCATCCGTAAAGAAGGGAGGCCTGGCGCTGTGGAGGGGCACCTGGGGCTTCGACTGCCCCGGGGTCCCGGTGGCTGACACTGTGACATCCATCCCCCTGGCCTGCCGCCTCTGTCTAAGCACTTCCCAAAGCTCCTGTTCCACAAGGGCCTTCCAGTGGCACATCTTGTATTGTACCAGCAGAGCCTTCGCAAGCCCCTGACTCCCCAAGGTGGAGAAAAACAGGTGGGATCAAGCAACTGCACTGCAAGGCGCCCGGTCACGTGTGCAGGGCAGGGTCACCACTGCTGCCACTCACAGGAGCCCGGAAGTGCTCCTTTGCAGCCTGCTCCTGCCGGGCTGGTGGGGAGGCTAGGACTGGCGTTGTAGGGAGAGGGGACCCCGGCTCACTGCCTTCTTTCCTCCCCGTTGCACAGGGTCTCTGGCACGTGTCACTGTGAGGGTGGTGCTATACCCGGGGGCTGGAGCCGCAGACAGGCCCCCGAGAACCGGGACAGCAAGCTACCACGTGGTGGAAATTCAGATCCCTCTGGACTGAGTCATTACAGGTTTTCACAGGCTATGGGCACACATGGGCTATTTTTGTTTTAAAAGACGAGTAGGGTCTGGAAAACAATGAGGTGGTTCCTCCGAAGGTTAAATACAATTACCACGTCAACCCGTAGTCCCACATCTGGGGAGAGACCCCAAAGGACTCAAAGCGGGGACTGAACAGCATAACTCACAGCTGCTCCTAGGAAGGCAACACACGCATCCACAGATGGCTACACCAGTGAACCAAATGTGGCCCCTCCATCAACAAAATTGTACGCGCCCTTTAAAAGGAAAAAATCAGACACATGTCTCAACATGGAGGAGCCTTGGTTATGCTCAGTGAGATGAACCAGTCACGAAAGGACACATAGTGTAGGAGCTATGCCCCGTGAGGTCCGTGAAGTGCTCCCAGAGTGAGACAGTGGCCTGGCGGCTGCCCGGAACAGAAAAAGGAGGAAGGGGCAGGCTTTCTGTCAGGGAAGAAGAAAAGGTTCTGGAGCTTGCTGACGGGGCTGGCTGCATAACACTGCTCAGTGTCTACTTCGAAATGGTCAAAAGGTGTATTTACGATGGTTAAGATGTTCCGCATATTTTGTCTCAATAAAAATACCAGTAATGTCTCCATTCTGTAGCATTTTATGACTCAAGGGCCTGACGGTCCTCGGATGGCCTGTCTGCATGCAGTCATTATGTTACAATTCCAGCTGGCCTTGCCAAGTGGCCTTTTATGATCCGCACTCACGTCCAGGGCTGAATTTCTAAGCCCTTGACAACATCTAAGAAGCAACCCTGGCGCAAGAGCTGCGTCCCTGGCTGCCAGCGAAGGCCACTCACTGCGTGTTCCTGATAGCGGTCCCCACAGCCTTCCCCTTACCTGAACCCCGGCCTTTTTGCAAGTTTCAATGACGTTCTTGGTGCCAGATAAGTTCACTCGGTAAAAGAGCTCCTTGTTGTTACTGGCTGGCGAGGGTGATGCACAGTGGAAAACAGTGCTTACGCCTACCAGAGCCGGGTACAGGTCCTGGCCAAGAACACAAGGACAGCAGAGTCACCTCACATATTCTCGACTTCCAACGGGGGCCAGTAGGACCCCTGCCTTTTTAAACTCTAGAATCGACACAGAAGCACATTCTCATAAAGATTCGAACACTATGGAAGTAAAAGGAAGAGGGACCAACGTGTCCCTTTAATCACCTTTCCCATTAGTTAGTCCCTAACAGAAGAGGGACCAAAGGCAAGCAAGCATGGATCACGGTCTCTAAACAACCACAAAACAATGATCCCGGGGCTGGGGATTTAGCTCAGCGGCAAAGCGCCTGCCTGGCAAGCGCAAGGTCGTGAGTTCGGTTGCTGGTACCGGAGAAAAACCAAAAAAAAAAACAATGATCCCAAAGCCAAGGCCAACAGATTGGATACTCGATATGGTATTATTCCCAAGTTTCCCCAGCTGTCCTGAATTTAGGATCTAGGACCCAGTCATGGATCTCGCACTATATCTAGACCTTCTTCTGTCTCTTCCGTGTGCTTTAACCTGGAACAACTTGTTGACTTTCCTTTTCTATCTTCTGTAACACTGCCATTTTTCAAGGGATCAGGTTGGCTATTTCCCAGACCGTCCCCGATCTGCATTTGTGTGTTTCCTCAGGCTTGCACTCAGGCTTAAGAGATTCAATAAGAATCCGGCCCTCGTGGCGGCATGTCCTTCTCAGGGCGCACACATCCGTCCCAACACTGGTGTCGCTAAGATGGATCATGTGGTGAAGGCGGTCGCCGCCAGAGCCTGGCCCTGCAAAAGCTCCCTCTCCCCTATGCAGCCGACAAGTAATCTGCGAGCTGACGGTCGTGCTGGCAGACTGGGAACTCTCTTGCCTGGCTGCAGGGAGGTGGCAAAGGCATGGACTACTGGCACCCTTTGTTCGGCGAGCTTGCCTTTCCCCCACCCTAATTTTTCTCTTCAGTATTTCCATGGACACATGGCTGCTTAAAAAAATCCAGTACAGGGCTGGGGATGGAGCTCAGTGGTAGAGTGCTTGCCTAGTGTGCACAAGGCCCTGAGTTCAATCCCCAGCACCACAAAAAACAAAGAAAAAATCCAATACACTAATAATCCACTACTATTATCTTTTGTGAAATGCAGTACGTCCCAAACGTGGCCAGCAGAGGCCTTCGGCTTGGCTCCTGTGTGCTTTGATACGCCCGTGTTTATGTGGTCCTAAGGACACTACACACGTGTACTGCCACTGGGGTTCTGAGGATACTGGGTAAAACTGACCCCAAGTCAGCACAGCTCACTTCTGAAACCCTGCTCACCAAGCGAGTGGTGCCGCAGCGTAGACACCGGCAAGTCTTCTAACCCATTCAGGGCTGACCCTACTTGGCTGGACACAGTCCCCAACACTGAGCTCCCTGCCACGCCCTCGCCAGCTCACGCACCAGGTGGTTTTACCCATGCTGCAGAAAACCTGCTGCAAATCCGGGACCCCGACACTCCCTCAAGATTGTTCTCTTGGTGGTGCTGGTGATGCAAGCCAGGGCCTCACACCAAGCTACATCCCCACTCCTCACCTTGGGGCGACTGAGTTTGGACAAGTGGCTCACAGAATGCAGTGCCACCCTACCTCGTGTTCACTGCGCACTGTGAAACCGCACAAGGAGGGAGAGGACAAAACACGCAGGGCAAGGTGTGCCAAGCTGCCACGTCCTCTCCCTCTCCCCATGGCCACCTTGTAGGAACCTCCCCGTATTCAGCTGGCAGGAAGCCACCAAAGCCTGTGTTCTGTGATGGAAGTCTCATTATCTAAGCAGAACTGAAGTACAGACAGCCCTGTAGAGATGTGGGCAGGGGATATCAGGGCATTATCTCGTGACAGCACGGTAGACGGAGCAACCCAGCAGGGCCTGTCTATCCGGATTCTCTCAGACTCTCTGGGTAGGACCAGGACCCTGTGTGGTAGGGGAAATTAGAGTATATGACCCATCTTTAAAAAGAGAAATTCTACCTTGGCATTGTGTTACAGAACAGTAATCTCAGCACTTGTGAGGCTGAGGCAGGAGGAGCACAGTGAGTTTGAGGCTAGCCTGAACTACATATGAAGATCTTGTCTCAAAAAGACAAAAAAAAAAAAAAAAAAGAGAAATTCTGGTTTCTATAGCCCACCTTGGAGCAAGGTATGAACCAGAAACTGTGGACGAAACATATATGTGTATATGTACATGTGAAAACATGTTTACATGTACATATAACAATATTAAACATATACATATATGGAAACATATCTATATACATAGGTATCTCACCGGTATCAGCTCATGATGCATTAGAGGAGAAACCTGATGCAGATCTAATAGAAACAGACTATCAACCACATATGGGACTGAATTTTGAAGTGGCTACATGAAGACAGTAAGAAGAGTGAGGTGTGGGCGTGGGTGTGTAGTCCCAGCTACTCAGGAGGTGGAGGCAAGAGGATTGCGAGTTCGAGTCCTTCCCTGGGCAACTTACAGAGACCCTGGCTCAAAATAAAAACATTGAAAGGGCTGGGAATGTAGGTCAATGGTCAAGCACTTTTGGGTTTTAAACCCCAATACTGAAAAAAATAAAAATAAAAATAAAAAACAGGTGAAATTAATTTTATTGCATTTATGCAAAATATAATTTTAATATAATTAAT